TCTTTTTTCATTTTCTGAAGCAAATAAGACACTATATACTATAGGGTAGGTAATGAGATATAGTAGCGTAGTATACGTATGAGCTAGTGTATACGACCTATATACACGTGTAATCGTGCCGAGCGATTTTACGAAAAAAAGCCTTCTTTTTAATCCATACCTCAAAACTTCCAACGCGAAGTAATTCGCCAGGTATCTTGATTTTTTATTTTTCACTTCTTCGCCTAAACTATCGCCTGTATTTTGAACTGACCCCTTACCTCCTAGGGATATTCCCGGAATCTGCATTTGACAACGGTTCTAATACAGTACGAGAGAATTTCACCCCAGCATGATCAATATAGTTGTGCATATCTTGTACAACACACTTTCTTGGCACAAGAGCGGTCCTTTCTAGAATCTCAGCCACTCTATGCGAATAAGATCAGAAATGTACCAAAAGTTGTGGTGTGCCAGTATCCTTATATCACTAATTCAAAATTATAGCTTATATGGCAGTGCAATTAAGTTTCAAGCACGGTTCATTTCTTGTGCTGTGCATCTATATACCGCTGAGCGAGAAAACTGCGAGGGGAAGACTGTTTAACAGATTAAGCCACAAATTGTGACATTACAGCCACACCGCATAATACTATCTTCGCACTATATGAGACTATTTAACTAATCATAAAGTAGCTATTTGGTTTGTCGCTAATAGTTGAAGATACTCTGTCATGTCCGTTCTGTCACTTCTGGCCTAACTCTAAATATCGTGCCAGGAACCCCACTTATATTAACCTTTACATTAAAACTCCGTATATCTATCCCCTCTCTCCCTTCCGCGTGCGAGTAAGCCAACATAAGTCGAGGAACACATCCGAGCAGACTATACCCACCACTATGCAAACCAAGCGGTCACTTTTAGAGCGAACCTGGTTCCGCTACCACCTCTCGCCCAAGGACAACTATACACCCAAGCTGCACATAGATAAATGTTCAGATATATGATCAAAAAGCGCCACCACCCACCTAAACTAGCAAACAACGCAAAGTAAGCGACTACCAGCATGGGACAACGTTTCTTTGATCCGAAATTTGACCGAAATTTCGCATATTCTTCCGAGTCCGCACTCTCAGCGACTGCCGCATGTGGGAACCAGCGGCACCCCGGGAGAGACAGCGCCCCAAAAAGAGCAGCAACCCCCGAGGTGGCCGTGGAGTGCGAGGGGCCGTATCAATAAACGCTGCTTGCAGCTTTAAACTTGTTAATGTATGATTACATTATTCATCTAATTATTATATGGATTGAGGTCGCTATTAAATAGTATTACTATCTAGTGTAAGATATATATTATTTCCAGCAGACGATCACTATTATCCCCCACTACCCTGGTGGACCCACGTGCTCATATGTACGTCCCATTCGCTTCGCTAGACCAGCCCTCACACACTGGTTCATCACTGCATCCACTCACTACTATAAACAGTGCTAGTTTTTGACTACTGTTGTTCGCTCTGCAACTGCGGAGGGATCCCCTGTCTGTCTCGTCTCTCTCGCATCTCAACCCACAACTAGTCAGTAGCGCCATACGACCACCCACCCTAAGAGGCAACGAAACAGGTCCTGTCCTAGGGAATTCTGCCTTCTTAATTAAACAGGCCCCCCATTTTTTCCTTGCCCCTGGTCGCCAAGTGTTGCGTCACATACGGAGGTCCTGTATGGGCATCCCTCTGTAAAGTGTATAAGAAGGAGTCATGCTATGTTTAATTATAGAAAAAGATAACCTCTGCTTATATAGCGAATCGCACGTATACCAGACAAAATAAAATTAGAATGAAATGCTGATAACTTCGTCTACACATCATCCCAGAAGAGACTTCTCAACAACACGAATATACGATACACAAATTAGTTCATGGTCTCAATCGCTAGTTTTAAGTCTTCTTCCATACAGCATGGTGTTCATTTAGTAAATTGTGGTCCCATTAAGAGTAAAATAGACAATAAAGCAGGGGCTACCTTGTGATTGACAAGCCAATGTTTCCTGCAACAGACCAGTTGAAACTAAGCACAGCCAATGAGCACAACCCGAGTCGTGCACTGCACTGCTGCTGGTAGAAAAAAAACAATACGGCAACGGCCATAATACCAAACTCAAGGCTTCTAAACGTACCCCAACCAATGGGCAATGTCACAGTAGGTTCACACTTGGATTCTACCTTAAGCTCAGGAGAAATGTGTATGCAAACTCAGTGGTGAAAAGGGAAAAGGTTTGTAGACCTGCTACTTTGTAACAGTATTTGTAACATTCTAAACACATCTGTGAATTGTATTTCAATTGTATTAAATATATTATTGTAGTAAATGTCTTTCTAACTGCAGTACATTAAGAAAATACTGAAATGATTTATCATCATCCTCTGTGAACATGTCAAGTCTTCTTTGCATGATGTAGTTGAGTATGTGAGAGTGTCGCTACCTGCAGTGGCATCCGCAGCAGCTGCGGGACCTGGAATTCCAGCATGTTGTTGAATCTGAGTCGACTAAAAAGGTGGAAGCAAATCCCTGGTCTGCAGCGTCCAGCTCTGTGGACACGTAACACATTCAGTAAATTCTTTGAGTTTTCTTTCTCCCAAACAAAGTGGGTAAAAACTGATTTGTTGATTAACAGCAGCAGACACTTTCATTCAGTCACAAGCAAAGAATATCAGGTTAGATGTAAGAGACAATATCTGTTGAGATAATGAATTGGATGTTGTCCTTGTTACCTTCCCTTCCTTTGCAGAGCACTGGCTTTTGAGATCCAAACCGTCTTTAACATGGATACATTACTGAGAGTATCAAAAGACTTCTGAAATGGAAAACTTTATTAGTCAATTACTAACCATGTTCCAAATCCCATCTATTGTTAGACGTCATATTACTCTTGTAAACCAAACTATGACTGTACCTCTTTGACCTTTCCTGAATCAATGACAAAGACCACATCGTTGATGGTGATGCTTGTCTCAGCAATGTTAGTAGAAAGAATCTGAAAGTGAAAATTGACCAGTTATAAATTAGTTTGATAGTGAGGGAATTTTCTGTAAAAAGTTTTCAAAGTTTAGATCCTAAATAATCAAAACTTCTATTTAGTATTCTTCACAATAAATAAATTACGAAAGCCTCACAAGCCCCCTTGAAGTTTTGGCAACCTCTAGTCGTGGTCCCAATCCTCAGGTTGGGAACCACTGACACATTGGGTCGTCGACTAATCAGAAGGTAGGAAGTTTGATCCCAGGCTCCTCCTGCTGCATGTCGAAGTGTCCTTGAGCAAGATACTGAACCCCAAATTGCAAATTGCTGGTGTATGGGTGCATGAATGAATTACCTTCTGTTTGTGATGGCCTTTGTCATCACTGTATGATGGATGTGGCATGTAGTGTACATTGCTTACAGTACTTTGAGTGGTCAAAAGACTAGAAAGGCGCTATACAGTCCATTTACCATATGGTACAAAGCAGCAGTTCTGAGCATCTGTGACAGTGACAGTGTTAATGTGGTCTTTGGATGGATGCATTACAAAAAGTGATGACATGATTTAATGTAAACACATGAGTTTCATCACACTTAATTAAAGGAATGTGGTGTAAAATGTATTTGGTTTTAAATATTTTTCATAGGCACCATTGTGCACCAAGTGCAACACACACTGGCCACACTGTGTCATTTGACAACCATAACACGTACAGTACAAGATGCATCATACAGTAGTAGTCAAAGAAGTAGGGTACAGTAGCTGGAATGTATCACTCAGTGGGGTTTTCTAGACAGTTGTAACATGCTGATGTTGGAAAAAAGGATAGTTAAACTAGTTAGAATGTTTGTCAATACACCGCTGTGTTTTGAAGTGTCTTCAAACAAAGTTTTTCTTTATACATAGAAGACTCTATATCATCTAATGACTAAATTAAAGCTTTGCTGAAAGTCATTATAAGTGTAGTGAACTCAATCAAATCAAATGACATTAAAATAGTCTTTGACATCAGTAAAATAAGACACTCACTATCTTTCTGACACCAGGTGGAGAGGTCTTCATGGCTTTCTTCTGATCTAGAGTCTGCATGTCTGAATGTAGAGTGAACACCTGGTACCTGAGAGATTGACACACCTGTCAGAAACACACTACACAATATTCAGCTATGCTATACTATGCTCAACACAATAAACTGACATATAAAAAAGGAATGGTAAAACAAAATATATGTGTATTGATTAAGGGAAGATTAATCCAGAACTGAGTCTACAATATTTTTTTAGTACCTATCTAAGAATACAGTATTTATTTGTATCTTAAAATACTATGAAGAAACTTCTCTAACATGACTTCAAATGAACATAACTTAGGATGAATTGCTCATCACACTAAAAACCTAAGGTATTGTAGGTATTGCATGATATATAAAATATATTTAACCTTTCAGACTGGGTGGAGAATCTTTTGTCGTCATACAGGATGCGGTCCCTGAGTGCCACTATTTCATCGTATCCAGGAAGAAAAATCAGGACAGCACCTGACAACCAACAGATAAAAGCTCATATTGTGATACTCTTGAAATATGATCCATATTCCTTGAAATCTTGCTGTGTTTACAAGTAGAGTTTTCTTTTGCTCTGCCGGACGACATTTAGCATGTCAACACTTGGTGCTACAGTAGCTCGTCTGTTGTTGTCGATTACACGGGCCAGCCTTTGCTCCCCACATGCATCAATGAGCCATGACCCTGTCGCTGGTTTGCCACTTTTCTTCCTTGGATCCCTTTTGATAGGTACTCACCAGTGCAGACCAGGAACACCCCACAAGAGCTGCAGTTTTGGAGATGCTCTGACCTCCTCATCAAAGGTCATATTGGTAGTGTAAATTTTCTGTTGTAGCAATAAAATACACTGCTCAATAAGCAGCTATATCGTTATAATCCAGAGAAGTGCTGAGGCTCACCGTCACTGGTGGTTGAGCAGATGTTGTGCAGCAGATCCATGATGAGGTCCAGGTCCACCCATTCATCGTCAAAGCTGTGGTGGTACAGTTTGAGCAGCTCCTGCTCTTCAGTGCCCAGCTCTGTATTACCACACTGCATCAGAGTGGATTCATCCAGGCTGCTCACTTCTCCCAAAGGACTGCACAGTAAAAGAAATGTAGGAGTAAGCTGATCAGAAGTCCAGTAAGTTTATCAGTTTAAAAACCTTCTACAACAGTATTTAAAACTGGACATGCCTTTATGTAGTTCCTTTAGGGACTGCACAAAAGTTATGGGAAGAGGGTTGGACATTACTCATTTCAGCTTTAAAGGTGGTGTAAGTGATTCTGGAGAAATCCAATATCATGACAAATATCATAAGATAAAGCAAACTACAACACAGCAAGTAATATAACTAACGTTAGCTTTGTTGTGGGTTTGCAAACTGTCACTATAGTTGCTGCTGCAAAGCTAACATGCAGAGAGGACAAGATGCTTTCCATTGCCAGCACACTGGCTCCAGACAGCGATACTCTCTGCTACCATAGCTAACATCACAACAAGAGCATATCTAGGATAACTAGAAAGTAAGCTGAATGTCTGTTACCTGAAACACCTGTCAGTGGCAGAGAAGCCGATGAGAGGGAAGCTGAAAGCTATCATGGACAACCCCTCTCATTCTCTCCATGCTTAGCTGAAGCAGTTCAGGAGCCCCTTCAGCCACGTACCTCAATGTGCTTACCCTTGGGCCACAAAGCATGCCTGAGCAGTGCGTGCTTCAGCTTACACACATGTGGTTGTCCACAAAAAGAGCATATCTGCTGCTGCCAGCCCTATCTTTCTACACTGAATCAGCCTTTTCGTCTATTTGCCAGCCAATAGAGTACTATTGTGAACTCACAAATGTTAAGTACCCCAAAGTTATATGTTAGAAATATACAGTATGGATCTCCAGCATCTAGAAACTGAACGATGTTGGGCAACTTGCATAATTAGAATCAACAGGCATAATCACCTATATAGACAAAATTTCAGCACCTACTTAATATTGGAGTGTTTTTTGGGGGTTATTGAAGACGCTGAAACCATTTCTGAATTTTTCAACATACAAAATGGCTATCTCAACAAGCCATGGTAGCCGGGTAGCCATATTTCAATCACAAAATCAATCACCACGGGGGGTGGGCTGATTTCAATGAATTTTGAGTCGATTTTGAAAACAGAAAACAGCCCACCAGGAGTTGAAATACAGCCACTTTAAATAGCCATTTTGTATGTTGAAAATGTCAGAAATAGATTTAGCATCCTGAATACCCCCATAAGCACTCCGATATTCAGTAGTTAAATTGGTCAAGCAGCTGCTGAAATATTATCTAAATAGGTGATTATGCTTATCAACGCCAATTACCTGTATGACAATTATGCAAATTGACCAATATATGCAAGTTGCAGCACCCAGCACTTTCTAAATGCTCGGGACCCAAACTGTTTATTTCTAACATAAAATTGACACTGTAGTGAAAGGTGTATATGTTGCTGGTATAATATGTCTATGAACAGATCCTTTTCACTGCTCTTGGCTCACGGAGAAAATAGGCAAGACCTCAACTCTCTATTCGCTACTATTCCACACTATACTGTAGTTCATAATGGACTACAGACAAGTCCCTACAGACTGAGCTACTGCCATCCCCAAATAGCCAGAACTGCCATTTAGGTCAAAGCACCAACAGAAACTCATAGGATAAGCAAAATATGGATTTTGAGATACATGTTTCACTTTGCATTACATAGTCATGTTTTGTGCATGTCAACATTACACTCACATGGAGGATTTGAGAAGATCCATAGCATCTGTCTGCTGGAAGTGTTTGGCAAAGTCTATGGCTGTCCTGAAATGTGATGAAAACACTGCTGGTCAATGCATTCACATGTGTCCTAGAGCTTGAAAGAATATTTGAAAAACAAAACAATACGATGTAATAGATACATGTTTAAAAGTGGAAGATGTAGATGCTTGAGTGTAAAGGCTGCAATATTGGTCATGATGTGAACATGCCTGGTGTCATAGAAATACCTGCCTGTTAAAATACATGCCTCGTCCATTTCTACAGACTATGAAAGGACAACTAACAAATATTGGTAATGAATCACAGTTAACGCTTCAAATCATTGGAAACTAATGGGACATTTAACATGGCTTACATCAGCTTGGTACTATAACATGATGGGCTCTATTTTGCACTCGCAATTGACTTTGTACACTGGTGCTTGTATAATTCCTATTTTGCATTCGA